TATAGGTTTAGCCATACAGGTCGAGTTAGGTGACTTCGGCTGGCATATAATTTTACATTGATTTATTTCACCTGGCTTACTTATTTTATTGTTGAGATACTTGACATGGCATAAATCGGTTTTCACTACTCTCAAGCATGATGTCTATATACGTATGTATTATTATTTTCTGGGAAATTATAGGGGTGTTACGGTGAGGGGTTATAACGTTTTCAAAAGGTTTTTATTAAAAACTTTATTTTCAGTCCCACTCACCTTTGTTTTTGCACCCCTAGGTTTTAGCGGCTGAAAGTCCGTATCGACAGGGATTTTTGGCAAATCTCAGTATAGGTGGCTACCTCCGAGGGTATGATCCTTACCCATACTATTGTACTTTACTTATGCTTTGACGTCGCGTGTGAAATGAGTTCATTCCTGCTCACATCGCACTCTTGTCTTTAGGTACTTTAGGTTTAAATTTATTCACTTTTTCCACATCATTATACTTTATAGCTTCGTCACCTTCTAGGTGTCGGCCAACATAGCTCAATTCAGAGTTCTAATGGACATTCCGGGTCAGGGTGTGTCACTCAATATTGATTATATATATTATTTAGGAGCTAATCTAGCCTAATCGTTTTATTTGAAGAAACTTAGGCTTTTCTGGTATTGTATTTAAAAAACTTCATAATTTTTTTTTAAAACATTTCTTAAGAATATGTTTTAAGAACAATTTTTTTAAAGATCCTAAAACTTGTTTAGTATGACATTTATAATTTTTTTTTAAATTTTAATAATTAAAAAAAAACACCCTACAACAATTATCCGTCAAGAATTACTACTAAATTCAATTGCACTGACAGAGAGACCCAAAGTGAGGATCAGAGGAGAGGGAGATGAGAGAGAAGGAGTAGAGAGGGAGGAGAGAGAAATAGAATTTCAATAAAGAGCTAGTAGAAAAAAAATCAGGACGAAAAGAATAGGAGAGAGAAAGTAATGGATTTCAATTCAAGTTTAAAAACTCACGTTTTGTATTATTTAAAAGTAACTAATTTTTAATCAAATATTCTAAACGAACCGGTGCCAAAACAAATTAATATTGTAAGAGATCTACTCCAAAAAGAAGTAAAGGGATCCTTTTTGGATCATTTCCATCAAATCAACGCAATCAACAAATCTCGAACCTTAAAATTTGATCAAACGACGACAAACAAAAAGTCTCTTTACAAATTATAATAATTTTAATTGTGGGATTAAATTTTAAAAGCTTGAATTTAATAGATTTGGTATAAAAGATCTGAAGAGAATCCATTTACCAAAAAGAATACGTTTATGCGGGAAGGAGGGAAGTACTATGCTTTGATAATGATGGTCATTTATTGGAACAACAGAGTGGCTTGAGTGCCTTAAGCACTAGCTGTTGGTGGGTAGCTTCAAATTCTTTTATATAAGAATTTATATAATCTCACTGTCAATTATATGTCTTTATATTATTTAATTCTGTTCTAATTAAAAACGTTGAAACGTATCTAGAATGGATGTATAGTAAGATTGTCAGCTTCTCTCTCCACAACGTGAAAAATTAGATGATATAAAGTAGAGAGACACAAACCCACTTACAGCAGTGTATTTGAGGAAGGGATTCTCGGAAGTACTTTTCTGCTTCTAAATATAGAACTGAAAGGGTAAATGAAGATCGTATATACTTTTAGAAAAATTTTATTAAAACCCATTCAACATCCTTTTACACCCAATTATTAAAATTCCTAATTCACCCTTGTATAAAACTTAAAAACAAAAAACAAAATCAAAATGTCTTTTTACACCCACTGTCACTTCCACCTCAAACCCCACCAGAGATTTGCTGGTGATTTTTCAAGGCAACTTCTGCCATCCATGGCAGCCCATTTACCTTTCACAAGCTTTGACATCTAACGCCTTCCATACAACACAAAGGTACCCTTGGTCGTGATTCTCCACGTCGCCGACTCTATAACACTCGAAAATTGTGTAGGCCCAAATTTGCTTTTGGCATTTGTCGGTTGAAGGAAGTGAGCAATAGAGAGGAGGAGGAGGAGGAGAATATAAGATGGATATAGAGAGAATGGAAAAAAAGCCTGAAAAGAGAAGACGCTGACACAAAAGATTCACCTGCCTCAATGAAGAAGATGCCGGAAAACAGCGGGCGTTGGTGGGGCTGATATGGGTTCATCTCCTTTCAATATATTTTTCTTATCTCACATTAATTTAGGGGTAAAGTGGAGAGTTTAATGGCAAAAATATTTAAATTGGGTGTGGAAAGAAGTTTTTAGGGTTCAAATAAAATCTCCCTTACTTTTATATCCCACGTCACATTGAAATTCAACGATCCAAATAGTTATTTTTCAACTTGCACCTCATAGATCATTCTTGTAAAATAAACATTTAATTGAGCTCACATAAATTGACAAAAACTATATTATAAGAAATATTGAAATTTCGTGATGACAATTAAATAGGTAAATAGTTTCAAATTGAATTGAATTTTTGCAATGATGATCTATGAATCATGACTTACAAAATAGACGATTCTAAGCGTTGAAATTCGATGTAGAGTGAATCCCATAACTAATTCTCATTAAAAAAAAATGAGAGTCTCTTTCCTTAAAGCAAGCAGGTCAGTTAATAATTCAATCCAATAGTGGTGCGGGAAAGATGGGTTGTTAGGGTTTTCAAGTGCTCAATTATTCAATCCAACTAGCTATAGAAGCAATTCAGTGCGCCTGCTGTTTCTAGATGTAGATTGCTAACTTTGGACGGGTTGCATGAGTTCAATTATTAATTATTTTGCATAGAATGTGAGGCCCTTGTCTCCTATACCTTTGTTTTTCTTTTTTCTAGAAAGAAAAAAAAGGATAAATGACATTTTACCCCTTCAGGTTTGGGGTCGATTTCAATTCCTTACATATTTAAAACATTTCACTGTCATACCTCAAGTACTATTTTATTTCAATATAATACATTCGTTACATTTTCCATTCATTGGTTTGTTAAGAGTTGATGTGGCTACCAAATTTGTGCCACGTGACAAAAAAATAATTTGTTATGCATTTAAATATTAAAATATTTATCCTATATATATAAAAATAAAAATAAAAAACCCATAAACCATTCCCCCTTGACCCACTCCTTCTCCTCTGTCCCACCCCATCCCACCCCATCCCACCCAACCCCCACCTTCCTCGCAACCCCCCATCCCACCTTCTCCGCAACCCCCCATCCCACTCCCTCTCCTCCACTCTCTTTTTCTTCAGCGAGGATGTCGAGTTTAGTCTTTGTCCATCGCACACTGTCCAGGCTCGGCTCTCCTCACCGTCCAGGCTCGCCTCTCCTTGCTGTCCAAGCTTACAGCCAGATCCAAGCTCAGCTCGCCATCCACAGCGCATCGCTTGAACGACTTGGACGCCCAGACTGCCTACTCCAATGCCTTGTTCGGACCCTCGGCGGAGGAGATTGTGTTCCGGGCCAGCTTGAGCATAAACGGGCCGAGATCCGGGTTGTCTAGGGAGGCATCAACGAGAATAGGATCCGGGGAAGCGGGTTGGGGCTTTTTGGATTGGGCGGGCGAGGGTTTGGATCGGGACGACAGTTTTTTGGTGTGGGGGGAAGGGGTTCCGGAAACCGGGGCGGGTTAGATTGCTAGGGCTGGGGATCCAGGACCGCGATTTAGGGCAGGGGCAAAGTCGGGCGGGGTGGGGGTTACGGGGAAGGGGAAGGGGTCGGGGAAGGATTTTTGGGTAATTTTTTATAGGGTAAATAGGATAAATATTATAATATTTTTAATGCATAAAAAATTAATTTTTTGCCACATGGCACAAATGTGGCAGCCACATCAGCTCTTAACGAACCAATGGATGGAAAATATAACAGATGTATTATATTGAAATAAAATAGTACTTGAGGTATGAAAGTGAAATGTTTTAAAGATATTGTATAAGATTGCAATAGACCTCAAACCTGAGGTGGTAAAATGTAATTTACCCAAGAAAAAAGGATATCTCATAGCTTTTTTTACCATTTCTTTTGGTGAGTAGCATTCGTGTCGTTTTTCTTGTGTTCATGTCGTTTTTGTGTCATACCTGATAACTTAACGGGTCATGTCGTGTAATACCCATTAAAGTAAACGGGTAATATGACCCGACCCGAAATCAACCCGTTAATATTATCAGGTAATATGACCTGACCCGTTACCCATTAAGAAAAATATATTTTAAATCAATAAAAATGAAAATGAAAAACATAATTTGACCCCAAAAAATGTAAAACATAATACTAAGTGTATTTATACTAAATTTCAGAGTTGACCCCTACATGAAAGTTGTAAAGTTTTTCATTATGAGTGATTACATTTTTAACACTTCTACAATAATTATTATTATTTTTTTTTTAAATTTTGCACTCAAATAAAAAATATTGTTCATGAGATTTGGAGGGTTTTAAAAATCTAAACGACCATGTAACTATCGTCTAAGCGTTAATGATGCAATTATGAACGTTTATTATGCTTTCACATCTTTTAGGCTTATACATTAATGATTATGAGTTTTGTTTATTTTGAACTCCCTTAAAAATACTATTCATGAGAGTTTGTGTATGGTTTTAAAAATTCAAACGATCATATACACATCCTTAAAGCGTACAGGATGTGACTACGAGCGTTCGCATATTTTTTTTTTCATATTTTTTGCACATGTAAATTAATTATTATAATTTTTTTAATGTGTTTGGTATTTTTAAATTACTTGATATTTTTATTTTTAATGTGTTTTATGATTTTTAATCTCAATCTTTGCCTATAATGTCACAGCCCGTCCCAAATATATAATTTTCGACGATGTAAAATGACAGCTTTATCCTTGGACGGGAAAATGATAGTGTGTATGTGTGACATATTGAGACTTAGAGATTGTTTTGTGGTCTTGAATTGGTGACCACGTGGATCACACACACACCACACTTACTCATTCTCTCTTCTTCCCGTGCTCTCTCTCCTTTCTCAGACTCTCTCTCTCTCTCTCTCTCTCTCTCTCTCTCTCTCTCTCTCTCTTTCATTCTTCTTGTACGGACAAACACCAAGGACCTCTCAAACCTCACTGATCGAGGAAGAAAATGGTACCATTGTGTTTGTGAAGCCCAGACGAGTCGATTGGTACCCATTTCAGGTAAGGATACCTTTGAAATCCCTAGTTTTTCATAACCCCCGATTTGTGCACTGTTCATGCACACGTAATTATGGATGTTTTTGGGAATTTGAAGCTTGTAGGAAGCTCGGAGTGCTTCGTTTGAAGGTTTTAGAAGTCAGGATAGTGTGGACGAAGTTTGGCCGATTTTCTTGGAATTCTCCGGTGAGATTCTGTGACTTTTAGAACTTTAAATTAGTATGATTGTGTTCTACAAGTTAAGAGCTTCATTTTGGTATAAAATACGTGAAAAATGGTGCAAAAACAAGCGAGAAATAGGCAGTTGCAGGTCTGCCAAGAATCCGGTGCCAGTGATACAGTTTCTGCATATGGAGGTTGAAGGTGATGCGCGTGAGGGCACGTGAGGCCGTGCCCTCCCCTGGCGCGTGAGTCACAGAAAAATTTATCTAAAAATATCACGATGTTCGGGAGGTTGTGTAGGTCACGTTGGTATATTCAAATACCAAAATTGAGCAATGTATGAGAAGTTATTAGCTAGTTTTGCCTATGTGCTTTAAAATAACGTTTTTATAGTTAATTCGCATATAGATGAGACTTATCAGGAGGACGAGCGTATCCAGGGGCAACTCGGGGGTTACGACCAGTCGACATATCAGTGAGTGGGCTTTTGTTTTTAGTATATATTTATATACTTGTTATATTCCCAGAAATGCATTTTAAGGAAAGTATGCTATGAAATAATATGCCAAATGCTTTTATATTCTGAATATGCATTTCATGGTTGCATATATATATAAATGTGGTGTTGTGGAGGCACAAGTAAGTTCAGGTAATTTATGTTTGATTATGTGAATCATCGATGATATGATATGTGATGAATTGATGTTGAGCTCATAAAACTGCACCTAGGGTGATTGTGATGTAACCAGAGATGTGAAGTACAAGCCTGTTTATTTATGTCACCTCCCGTACTATATGCTCATATTGGATCCAACTTAAGTGCACAGTCTTGTCATACAGACCTTATTTATCGTTCCGACTCATAGGTGACTAGCGATTTATCGCCCGACTATTATGAGAGAATAGAATTGAGCATAATTATATTTCACTCAATCTTGTCGTACAGACCATTTTTAGTGGTTCCGACTTATGTGCAGTATATTGCCGTATAGGTCATTGTAGTGACTTCGGCTAGATTGACTTTTGAACTATGAATTCAGCCATACAGACTACCACAGGGGTTCCGGCTAACATATCATATTTCTATGAAATCATTCTTACCTGGATTGTTTACTTATATTTTGGCATGGTATACATTTGAATATGATTATGTGAAGCATAAATTGAATTGATATGATTTCATGTATATATAAATTATGTATATGCTTATATCTTGATTCTAGGAAAATTTTACATGTTTTACAGCGAGGGGTTAGTATGTTGACAAAAGAAAATGATTTTGTAAAACATTTGTTCTTGCCCACTCACGTTTTTAGTTTTGCGCCCTTCCAGGTTTTAAGTAAGCTTGCTGTTGGTGGCTTGAGGATATCGGCAGTTCCGATTTATCCAAATAATAGTAGGACATTCTCGGTACTGTATAACTAGTACTTGTCCTACTGGACTGCACCTAGACTTTATGCTCTGATTAAGAGTGTTCACTGTTGTAACTAACTCTTATCACTTTCTGTATATTAGTGCACTCTAGTAATTTGGTTCTTAATAATTCGTATAATTCTTATCTTTATTGCTTCCGTAGTGAGCACATGGCTACATCACTCTCACGTGACGGCCAGTATGCCTTGATCTCAGTCGGGGTGTGTCATATAATATACTATAAAAATAAATTAATAAATAAATAAAACTTAAATTTTAAAATTTATATAGAATAATAATTAATAAACAATATATACATATTCATTATATCTATTGTATTTTATAGTAAGTTTTTTTAGTAGTTTAAATTAAAATCATCATAATAACTTTTTTCTTATCTTGTCGAAACAGGTTAATCGCATGTCACTCTCGTGTAAACCTATTTAGGCCAAAGCATCTCTACCCCTAAAAAAATGCGCTGGCACAAACGATCTCCACCCCTACAAAATGCGCTGGCACCTAGCCCATTTAATTTTTTTTTATAAAAGAATAAATAAATAAAATAGTTTTAATTTCGGATAAGATTTTTAACCAATCTCGTCACGCCACGTGTCATTATCCGAACGTACTATTTTGTGAATAGATTTCCGCTAAGATTTGCAATTAATCCCGATGCGCCACGTGTCACTATCTGTTTACAATAATTTAGTCAAGATTACGATAAGATTTTCAACCAATCCCGACGTGCCACGTGACATTGTCCAGAACCTCATCTTTTTTTTTTGTCCATATAAACTCTACATCTCTATATCCATCCTCACACCAAACTTAATCTTTCTTTTTAGCTCATAATCCTTCTTCATCGTTTTCAAATCTTGAGTTTTTTTTACAATGTCTTCTTCAAGGAGAGTCCATAAACAATTTGTGGAGCAATAGAAAAGATTGTTGGCACAACAAGAAGAATTGATTAATCTCGAGGAAGGTGGAGGTGGAGGTGGAGATGAGACTTTCGCAATGGAGGAGGACTCGGATGATGACCATAGAAGGCAGAGGGCCTCACATTCCCGCCGTGTCATGGAAGCTGTGGGTTAGATAGCCAAACCCAGACGTGCCGCAAACTTCGATAGAAAAAGGGAAAGACGAGGTAAAGATCTCTTGGAAGATTATTTTATTCCCAATAGCATATTCCCTGATCATGTTTTTAGACGTCGTTTTAGAATGCAACGAAGTTTGTTCAACAAAATCATAAGTGTTATTTGCAACCATGATCCACATTTTATGCAAAAAGAGGATGTTTTTCGTGTTCTAGGTCTTCTTCCAGAGCAAAAAATTATGGTTGCCTTGCGAATGCTTGCATATGGAGCATATGGAGCATCTGTAGATCAAGTGGATGAGATCGTGAGGATGGGAAAAACAACTGTTCTCGAGTCCCTGATGCGGTTTTGCTCTGCAATTAAAGCTCTGTACATCAATGAGTACCTCCAGAAACCCACGCCTAGGGACATGTAAAGGCTTCTAAGGAAGGGTGAGATGCGAGGCTTGCCTGGCATGATTGGAAACATCGATTGCATGCACTGGACTTGGAAAAACTGTCCAAGTGCGTGGCAAGGAGCTTATGGCGACAAAAAAGAAGCGAAAAGTATCATTTTGGAAGCGGTGGCTTCATTTGATACATGGATTGGACATGCTTTTTTTGGTGTTCCAGGAGCTCAGAATGACTTAAATGTGATTGCTCAATCTCCAGTGTTCGACGATCTGCTGCAAGGAAAATCGTCGAAATGCACATATTGGGTTAATGGCACTAAATACGACGAACCATACTACCTTGCAGACGGCATTTACCCAAGGTGGGCTACGTTTGTCAAAACAGTGCCATATCCACAGATTGAAAAAGAAAAACACTTCGCAAAATGTCAAGAGGGGTGTAGGAAGTAGGAAGGATATGGAACGTTGTTTTGGCATCTTGCAAGCTCGTTGGGCGATTGTCAAAGCTGTAGCTAGAATGTTTGAAGTCGAGGCTCTTTGATCCATCATGATGACGTGTATTATTCTCCACAACATGGTTGTGGAAGATGAGTATGATTATGATGTCGTCGATGATTATGAGCCGGATCCGATGAACAACTCAATAACATATATCTACTGTGCTCATGACCGGGGACCGAAGATCCCGTGCAACATGAGCCGTTGGAACAGGATGGACGTTACAATGAATTAATCGTTCAGCGGTACACTGATGTGCAAGAGCCATACTGGCACGTAACCCGCCAGAATGACTTAATTGAGCACCAGTGAGGATTGCATGAAGGCAAAGATAATTAAAATGAGGCTTGTGGTTGAAGAATAAAGTGTATTTTTTTAAGTAATCTTATTTAGTGTGTTTTTTTTTTAAGTTTATATGGTGAGGTCATGTAATTTTATTTGGTGTTTTTTTTAAAGTTTATTTGGTGAGTTTAATGTAATCTTATTTGGTGAGTTTATGTAATCTTATTTGATGTGCTTAAATAAAGTACAAAAAATAAATTTGAAATTGCATAAAGTTCTAAAAATAAATAAGAAATTACATTAAAAATTACATAAGAAACTAAATAAAGTTCTAAAAATAAATAAGAAATTACATAAATATTACATAAGAAATTAAATAAAGTACTAAAAATAAATACGAAATTATACAAAGTCTATGGAGCTAGGATATGTGGTGCTAGGATCTTCGTTACTAGGATTTCTGTAGATATTGTTTCGGCATCTCTTGCACGCCTCCTTTGCACGACCTCTTTTTTTTCCAATGTCTAAAAATATTTTGAATTCGGAGACAGTCCTATTAGAGGCTTGTTCATAATGTCACGATCTGCTTGAGCCATCCTTTCTTCTCTAAGCATCTCATTTTCTCGATGAAGTGCTTCTCTAATCATCTCATTCTCTCGATTAATTATTTCTCTTTGTCTCTCAGCCGCCGCATCATAGACCTTAGTAGCTGCTATTATTGCCGCCATAGCAGCAACTTTTTCCTCATCTCTAGCCTTTTCACGTGCTATGTTCAGTTTATCTTGGCGAGCAAGTTCTTCCATATATTTAGTGTAGTCATTTTTGGAAGAACTACATTTTTTCTTTGATGCCTTTTTACCTTGAGGCCTGAGGGACTAACGAGTCGGTTGGGTCTCCGACACTTGTTCAGGCGTCCCTTACGTGTCTTCAAATGTGTTGGCTTCTTGTTCGGCTGTGTCTGCTTCTGGCAAACTATGTAGACCTATGTCGTGCATGACAACTTCTGGACCAGTTGCCACAATTTTGTATCTAGGGCAATCTTTGACAATTTGCCAACATTTCCATTTGTTGAATGATTTGTTTTGGTTCTTTGCATTGCAGAATGCTTGTGCTTGTAATGTCTATAAAAATGTAGGATGAGATAGTATTAAAAAATGCAGGTGGAATGCATATAAATTACATAAGAAATTACATAAAAATTACATAAGAAATTAAATAAATTAAAATATGGATGCGGGTGGAATGCATATAAATAAATAAAAATATTGTCACCTGATCCGCTAAACTTGTCCCACTACGCAGATTACCAGAAGCATGAGATATGGCGTTTTTCCAACAAGTAAAGGATGCGTTGAGTTTTTTCCAACGACCTTGAAGACCTTGACTAGTTCTGGCGTCTTTTCCATGTACATCGCAAAACGTTTTTGTAATTTTACTTCACATTTCTAGCTTATCCATCTCATTACTCGTAATCGGGTCATGAGTAATGTGAACCCAACATTCACACAACGTAACATCTTCAATGAGCTTTCACGAAGTCATTTTTTTCTCTCAAAGTGTACAAAATATTGAAATGTGATGTAAGAAAGTGGAAGATATTCCAATCCAACAGCCAAATAGCTGCCACATGGCTAACGGTCATAATTATGACCGTTGGGCCTTTTTTTGGGGGGGGGGGAACGTGGACCGTTGACCTGTGATCAGACGGTCCAGTTTAAAAGTGAAATTCAAATTTTTTTTACCATTGGAAATCCAACCGCAAAGAGAGGGCCATGTCGCCATGATCCAAGTGATGGGTGAGTGCGTTGACAAAGGGCCCCGCCGCCTGCATTCCTGTCTCCTACTTGCGCCTACTCGCAAGTGAAAGCCACGCGCCAGCCAAATAGGCCGGTCCCTAGGTTAGTAAAAAATGGGCTGGTCTGTTGCCTGGCTTGGGCTAGGTGCGAGGCTAGTTTGTGTGCTGGAGTGGGTTCACTGACCCCCAGCTTGGTTTTTTGACTGGGTGCTGGCACATTTCACCTCCGGTGGAAGTGCTCTAAGAGAGTTGTCATAACCACGAAAACTCTTCTTGTCATGGTAAAAAGTGACCACAATCCGAAAATGAAGATAGTTAACAAATTAGGGGGAAACTTGAAGAAAAATAAAGAGAATTGACTGCAAGTTGTATTACTATTGAACTTAAAGTTAAAGACAAAAGTGTGCTTCAAATATATTTTTCTTTATTGTTCTCTCTAGAGGTTAGGTTTTTAAGTTCTACCCCAAGACCCGAAGTCTTGAATAATCATGATCTATTTAAAAGGGAAGGTGTTTAAATTCTTGAGAAAGATTGATCATAAAACTTGCTGTCAGCTATCTAATGCAAACAAGCATTTTAAACTTTTTGGGCTACGATTCAATCTCATTAAAAACCAAAGGAAAATTTCAACTTGGATCATGTTTTTTCTTGGAATGACTACCATTTTGTCATCAAAACATTGTCTACATCTCTTCCCAATTTTCCTCTTTTTTTTTTTTTCCTCTCTTCTTTTGCTATTATGTGACACATAATATATGAAAAATATTCTTTTATTGAGATTGTAAATTAAACTATTAGTTAAAATATATTTAAATATAGTTCAGATTCATAATATTGGACCACAAAATCACTGCCAGAGAGATTACCTACATATTATACCTAACACAATATAAAGTAAGATTTATTATATTTTACCCTGAAAGCCAGAAGCCTATTCCTAAATACTGTGTAAACGCGGCAGAATGTAAGAAAGAAGTCACTTGCGTGGCTAACTGGGATC